CACCCTATGGGATGGGGTCCCTTCTTCTTGTAGGCACCACTGGCGCCTTGTACCTGACGGATCACTGGTCGGTCCTCCTCCTCCTCTTCCTCCTCCTCCTCATCCTCTTGCTCCTGCTACTTCTCCTTCTCCCCTTCCCCCTTCCCTCCCCTCTCCTCCCGCTCCTTCGCTGGATCCTCCGCCTTCCCCCCTTCCTCCTCTTCTTTTGGGGTCAGGGGAGGAAAGGGAGGAGGAGGAGGAGACGGAGGAGGAAGAGGAGGAGCAGGATGATGATGATGATGATGATGATGCTGATGCTGATGATGGTGATGGTGATGGTGATGCTGACGATGATGACACTGCTGTTGATGCTGCTGTTGATGCTGATGCTGTTAATGGTGCTTGTGATGATGATGATGAGTATGATGATGATGCTGCTGCTGATGCTGATGATGACGATGATGATGAGGATGATGGTGCTGCTGATGAGGATGATGATGATGACGACGACGATGGTGACGATGCTGCTGATGATAATGATGCTGACGATGATGGTTACGATGTTGCTGCTGCTGGTGATGATGGTGATGCCGATGAAGATGATGGCGATGCTGATGGTGTTGATGATGCTGATGAGGATGTTGATTATGATGATGATGCGGATGATGCTGACGATGATGCTGATGACGATGGTGATGATGCTGATGATGATGATGGTGATGCTGATGAAGATGATGACGATGATGAGGATGAACAGGATGATGATGCTGACGGTGATGATGATGCTGACGCTGACGCTGATGCTGATACGGATGCTGATGCTGATGGTGGGGGTGCTGCTGATGATGCTAATGACGACGATGATGCTGATGGTGATGGTGATGCTCATGATGATACTGATGATGCTGATGCTGATGTTGATGATGCGGATGATGATGCTGAGGCTGATGCTGATGATGCTGATGATGCTGATGCTGAGACTGATGGTGATGGCGATGGTGATGATGACGCTGGTGATGATGATGACGCTGAGCATGACGATGAGGCTGATGATCATGCCGATGAGGATGTTGATGCTGATGATGATGCTGCTGATGCTGATCATGATGATGACGACGGCACTGATGCGGATGATGCTAATGATGCTGCGTTTGAGGATGGTGACGATGACGATGATGATGATGGTGACTTTGACGATGCTAATGATGATGCTGCCGATTATGATGTCGATGTTGATGATGATGATGCTGATGTTGACGATGATAACGGTGATGCTGTTGACTATGCTGACGATGCTGCTAATGATGCTAATGATGCTGATGACGATGACGACGATGCTGGTGAAGATGATGGCACATGTGATGATACTGATGAGGATGATGATGAAGGTGATGATGATGCTGCTCATGATCCTGATGATGATGATGCTGATGGTGCTGTTGTTGCTGATGAGGATGATGTTGTTGATTACGCTGATGATGCTGATGATGGTACTGATGATGTTGATGCTGACTATGATGATGAAACTGATGATGATGATGATGATGCTGATGATGATGATGATGCTGATGATGATGGTAATGATGATGCTGATGCTGACTATGATGATGATGCTGAATATGAATATGAGGATGACGATGATGAGGATGAGGATGAGGATGAGGATGAGGATGAGGATGATGCTGCTGCTAATGATGATGATGATGCTGATGCTGATGATGCCGATGCTGATGCTGATGATGATGATGATGATGATTATGATGATGATGATGATGATGATGATGATGATGATGATGATGAGGATGGTGATGATGATGACGACGATGATGATGATGATGATGATAATGATGACGATGCTGATGATGATGATGATGATGATGATATGATGTGATGATGATGATGATGATGATATGATGATGATGATGTGATGATGATGATGATGATGATGATGAGAGTATGAGGGGGAGAGGGGGAGGAGGAGGAGAGAGGAGGAGGCAGGAGGAGGAGGAGGAGGAGAGGAGGGGAGGGGGAGGAGGAGGAGGAGAGGAGGGAGACAGGAGGGCTGTGAGAGGGGAGGGCGAGGAGGAGGAAGGGGAGGAAGCAAGGGAGGAGGACAAGGAGGAGGACAGGAGAGGAGGAGGAGGAGGAGGAGGAGGAGAGGAGGAGGAGGAGGAGGGATGGGGATGCTGCTTCTCCTCCCCGAGCGCACCGCCCCCCCCCGCGCGGCGAGGCGGCAGGAGGAGGAGGTGCGGATGGGGAGGAGGGGATGAGGAGCACGGAGGGGGAGGAGGAGGAGGAGGAGGAGGAGGAGGAGAGGGAGGAGGAGGAGGAGGGAGGAGGAGGAGGGATGAGAGGGAGAGGAGGGGAGAGGAGGAGAAGGAGAGGAGAAGGAAAGGAGGAGGAGAGAGGAGGAGGAGGAGGAGGAGGAGGAGAGGAGAGGAGGAGGAGGAGGAGGAGGAGGAGGAGGAGGGTGGGATGCTGCTTCCTCTCCCCGAGTGCACCGCCCCCCCGCCCGCGCGGCAGGAGGTCCAGGACCTGAAACGCCTCCTCGACGAGGAGCTGCTGGGCGCGGGCGAGAAGCGGCGCGCCGCCGGCGAGCTGGTCCGCGAGATCGCGAACATGGAGGAGCCGCCCCCTCGCAGGGGTCCGTTTCTCGGCGGCGAGCGATGGGGGGAAGGAAGAAGGTGAAGGCCTTCTCAGAGGGCGGCGGGGCTTCTCAGAAAGCCCTCGCATCTTTGAGAGGTCTTCTGCGTCTTCGGGGAGGGCTCAGACAACTTGTGAGAAGGCCGGGGGACTTCCGAGCCTTCTGAGAAGGCCCGCCCCTTCTCAATTCCCCCCCTCGCTCGCCGCCAAATTCCAGAGGATCGAGGGACGAGGGATCAGGGCCTATTTCGATGGTTCTTGCGTGTGCACTTGTAAAAACACTGTCGGACGCCGTCGTGGGTTCTCTGAGCTCTTCGCGCCTGGGGCTGCCTGCCAGCAGCTGCGCCTTGCCGAGAGCGTTCCAGAGGTGCCCAGATCGTCCCGAACGGTCGCCGGAGACCCGAGTCATGGCCCGAAAGCCGAGTGGGCCCCTTTCGGGGTCCGTGCCGATCCGATCGGTCTGGTTCGGTATCGATTCCGGGCTGCCTGATCCGAGTCGATTCCGATAGTTCAGAGGAGGACAGGATGCCGAAGGTCTCTACCCTTCCCCCGTTTTTGCCTTTTTGGGCCTCCTGGGAGGCCTTCGTCGCCATGGCTGGATTCTCGTCGACATTCTGGTCAGAAAGCACCATGGGAGAGGTCCGGGGAATTACGATATCGGTACCTTTTGGTTGCACCACTATCAGGGCCCACTGCGATCTTATTGATCGGTTTCGATACCGGTTCTGGGCTGCCTGGTCCGAGTCGATTCCGCTACTGCGATCCGCCGCGGCCCGATGCCTGCCTGTGGTGCATAATAACCCAGCCGATCTTGTTCGTTCCTGGCCACGTGCCGCAGAACAAGATGCACAACACACAGTGGGGGGCGTCCAAGAGGGGGGTGAGGACTAGGTGTGTGTGTGTGTGTGTGTGTGTGTGTGCGTGGTGTCTCCCAGATTTCGTGGATCCTTCTTCTTCTTCTTCTTCTCCGTCTTTTTTGTCGTGTTCTCATTATTATTATTAGTTTGTTTCAACCATCCTGTGGTGCTGAGCCCCCGTTTTGAAGAGACAGCGCCCCTCGTCCCTCCTTCCTCCTCCTCTCCTCCACCCCCTCCTCCCTCCTTCCCTCCCTGCCTCTGCTCTCTGCATGCCCATCCCATGGCGGCACGCCCCTCACACGTTTCGTTGCCCCATAGGGAGCTCCACTAAGGCCCCATTAGGAAAGTTTGCATGGCACCGCCGCCCCATGTCGGCACACCCCTCACACGTTTCGTGGCCCCATAGGGAGCTCCACCAAAGGCCCCAGTGGGAAAGTTCGCATGGCACCGCCGCCCCATTTCGGCACACCTCTCACACGTTTTGTGGTCTCATAGGGAGCTCCACCTGAGGCCCAAATGGGAAAGATCGCATGGCACCGCCGCCCATTTTCGGCACACCCCTCACACGCTTCGTGGCCCCATAGGGAGCTCCACGGAAGGCCCCAATGGCGACGTTTGCGTGAGTCCCCCCGACTCATGTCGGCACACCCTTCACACGCTTCGTGGCAGAAGGCTATACCGCGTGCGCTACTCGGAGTTTGCGCGCCCCCCTCCTTCGTCTCATCTCCCTCGCGGTACTCGCAGCTGCGCTGCTGCATATGGTTGGGTCCTTCGTCAGGCTAGTTTTTTTTATCACAATCATCATCAACCTTATTATTAATAGTATTCTTATTATTCTTATCATTATTATTCGTGTTATTATTCTTATTCGTATTATTATTATTCACATTATCGTTATCATTTATATTACTATTGCGACTAGTATTGCGATTCTAATTATTGTTGTTGCTATTGTTATGGCTAGTCTTATTTTCTTCTTCTTTGAACGCGCTTTCTGGCCCCCCCTCGTCCGCGCCCACGCCTGGGTCTACGATGCGCCAGCCTCCCTCTTCCTGGCCCCCCTCCCCGGCGCGCCCGAGCAGACCCGGGCGGACAGCTCCCAGGCTTCAGGGGAGGGCTGGCTTTCCCCATCAGCTGTCTGAGGGGCAAGCGAAAAAGCTTCACGAAGACGAGCTTAGAGAAGCCAATCCTCGTGCATGCACTGTCTGTCCCAAAGCTTCGTGCCCCAGGCCGCCGCTTCTTGGTGCGACGGCCCCCTGGCGTGTCAAAAGCCCTTCAGGCTTCAGGGGAGGGATGGTGGTGGCGTGAAGCTATCTCACCACGGCGAGCCAGCGATGTTGTACACCGATGATCTCGCTGATAGCACGGGTTTGCGTACATGTGCATTCTCGCGTCGTAGAGTTCCCTTTTTGCTTTGTTTTCTTCGTAGGAGCCCCCCTTTTTCCAAGATGGTGATTTATTCACGGCCACCGCCTGGAAGATCGACTCCCCAAGCGGTGGTTATGGATAGATCACCGCCTTGAATGGTTTGGCTTGCTGTCTTACGTTGTTTCATATCCTTCCCTTTCACCCTCTGGCTTCCTCTGCCCTGCCCCTCCATCTTGCCCCCTCCCTTCTCCCTCATGCTCCATCCCTCACTCCTTCCTCCTTTCCTCCCTGCCTCCTCCCTGTCTCACTGTTTACTTCCTGCCTGTCTCCTCTCCTCCTTCTCCCCCCTCTGCCTCGTACCCCTCCCTCCCTTCGTCCCCATCCCTCCTCTCCACGCCTCCTTCCCCCACCTCCTCCTCCCTCCCCCCTCCCTCCCGCCCCCTCACGTGCAAGGAGGACCAGGACTACGTCGACCGGCGGGGGCAGAGGGAGGTGGCCGACGCGCGGTCGGCGCTGGAGAAGCTGGCCGCCCAGCAGCAGGAGCTGCGCGTGTGCCACCTGCAGGCCGAGGAGTGGGTCGGGGCCGTGCGCGAGGCACTGCAGCAGCAGCGGCAGGACCCGCGCCGCGGGCGACGCCCTGCGCACCACCACTGACGTGGCCAGGGCCATCCTGGGCCTGAGGGTCCCTCCACCCCCTGGCGCTGTGAACAAACAGATATCCTGGCGAGGGGCCCAACGATCTGCAGGTGTGATTGCCGCAGGGCAGAGGTGGACAGAAGGGGGGGGGGGGCTCCCTGTGGGGCCACGAAGCGTGCGTGTGAGGGGTGACCGAAACGGGCGGGGCGCCGCCCTGCGGGCGCTGCCATTTGGGTCTTTGGTGGAGCTCCCAGCGGGGCTGCGCGCAACAAGGGAGGGGCGTGCGGGCGATGCCTTTTAGGCCTTCGGTGGAGCTCTCGCTGGGGCCACGAAACGTCTGAGGGGTGTGCCAAGATTGGGGCGGCAGCGCCATGCGGGCGCTGCCGCTGGGGCCTTCGGTGGAGCTCCCGACGGGGCCACGAAGCGTGTGAGGGGTGTGCGGCGCCATGCGGGAGTTGCATTTTGGGCCTTCGGTGGAGCTCTCGATGGGGCCACGAAACGTGCGAGGGGTGTGCCATACTGCGGCGGCGGCGCCATGCGGGCGCTGCCGCTGGGGCCTCAGGTGGAGCTCCCGATGTGGCCACGAAACGTGTGAGGGGTTTGCCAAGATGGGGCGGCGGCGCCATGCAGGCGCTGCCGCTGGGGCCTTCGGTGGAGCTCCCTATGGGGCCACGAAGCGTGTGAGGGGGTTGCAGAAATGCGCTGGCGGAGTGCAGAGGCAGGGGTGGGAGGAGGGGCTGCGGGAGAGGAGGAGGAGAGGAGATGAGAGGAGAGGAGAGGAGTCGCGGGGCGCTGTGTTTTCAAAACGGGGGGCCACCACCACAGGATGGTTGGGAAAAGCGAGGACCCAACGCCACATGATGGACGGGAATCACGACGGAAGGCTTTTGGCCAGTTTCGGCCTCTGGGGGCCCGCGCATGGCCCTTAGACCGTCAAGAAACATGCCCAGGACGAAGAAACGGTCCCGGGGAAGGGGCCCAGACCTTCAGGGGTAAACGTTGCGAAGCAATGGCGACGTCGGAGTTCGGGGGTGGTGCGTGGACCCCCCGGGCCTCGGCCAGGAGGGCACCCGCACCACGCCTGGGCCCAGAGCGGTCCTGGCCAGGCATGGTGGTGGCGTCTGGGCGCCCTCTGCGCAGGACCAGCTTCGGCTCCACGAGGAAATGCGCGCGGGGGACGCCTGGGTGGAGCAGCTGCAGAAGCGCGTCGAGGAGCTGCTTCCGGAGCTGCAGTGCCTGGAGGAGGAGGAGAAGGCCCTCGCCAGGGGCGCGTCGATCACGGACGCCGCCAGGGCCCGGCGGAGGGCGGAGTCGCAGCTGAGGCTGCTGCAGGAGGAGGTGGCCGCCAGGGACAGGGAGTATGCCGAGCTTCTGGAGCAGGGCGCGCTCCTGGGCTATCACCCCACGCAGGATTGGGTGTGCCAGAAGTGTCCCTGGCCAAAAGTGTCCCCAGGATTGGCCAGAGGTGTCCCCATGATTTCCAAGGCCCCCACGGCCTCCAGAGCACCCCTCGCGAGGTTCCAAGATGGAGCAAAAAGCCGGGGACACCTTGGGCCAGGGACACCCTTCGCAACCTCTGACAGGACCCCGACACAGATGCGTCCGAGTCGACCGAGTGAGGCGGACATCGGAGACGAGAAAGCGTCATAATGATGGGCCTGTTTTCCACCACCACCACCGCCATGAGTTGGAGGGGGGAAGGAGGAGGAGGAGGAGGACGAGGAGTAGGAGGAGGAGGACGAAGAAGAGGAGGAGGAGGAGGTGGAGGAGGTGGAGGAGGACCTCCTCCCCCTTCAACTTGTGGTGGTGGTGGTGGTGGTGGTGGTGGTGGTGGTGGTGGTGGTGGTGGTGGAAAACAGGCCCATCACATACGCATCAACGCGCGGAGCCCCGCCCGGACTTGTCGCATCGGCGCTGGACCTCCGGCGCTCGCCGCGCGCTCCTAGAGGGGAGCTTTGGCGCTGGCGGGAGGACCTGGAGGAGCAGCCCCGCCGCCGCAGGCAGGAGCGCTGGGGTGGTACACTGGGGGAGGGGAGGAGGAGGAGGAGGAGGAGGAGGAGGAGGAGGAGGAGGAGGAGGAGGAGGAGGAGGAGGAGGAGGAGAGGCAGGCGGGAGGAGGAGGAGGAGGAGGCGGGAGGAGGAGGAGGAGGAGGAGGAGGAGGAGGAGGAGGAGGAGGAGGAGGAGGAGCTACGCCACCGCCCGGGATGGAACGGAAGGGGTCCGTGTCCGCCTGCCTCCAGGGGGCCCAGCGCCGGCCCCAGAGGTCCGCGCGGGCCTCCGAAGTCTGATGCTCAGGGAGGTGTCTTTTGCCCCCAGGCCACGGCCCGACGACCACGCGGCGGCCCCGTCGGCCCTGGCGCCGTCGCTCTCGCGAGGGGCAGCCGCGGGCGCGCGGCCCTCGGCTGCCGCCGAGCTGGCCGCCGAGCTGTTGGACGAGCGGGCGACGGAAGGCGATCGGGCGACGTTAGCTGGGAATCGACACCGATCCTGGCTGGGCCCATCTTGAGCCCAAGCTGGGTGCCTGCGCTCGGCACGGCCGAGCTGGGTACGGAAAGAATGAGGAGTAAGACCAGCAGCAGCCCCTGTCCGTGTTGAGCAGAAATCGCTGTCGGCGTCGCCGCGGGTGTTGTCCACTTGAGACAAGCCGTCGCCCGCCCAACAGCGGCCGTTGTCGGATTTGGGCAGCACCTGCTGTTTGCCATGGTACCCACTGTTTCCGTGCCTCTGGGGCGCGCCAAAACGCCGCCCGGGCCGGGCAGCCGAGCGAGAACTGGGTATACGGTCAAGACGCTACATCAATGGCCACGTTGGGCTCAGGATGAGGCTCTGGTTTCCGGTCGGGCCGTTCCTCAGATCTAGGCCGTGGGGCCTCTTCGTGGCCAGGCCGCCGTGCCCAGGGAAGCCCCCTTCGTCACACCCCTTTGGCGCCATCGAGCTGCGAGACGATCCCTGGCGCAGGACGGGCCCGGCCGAGGTCGTTTTTTTTGCCGACCGCGGCCCTCGGGGCCGCAGTCGATCAGGAGGGGAAAAAACACACAGGCACAATTAATCGTCGATTCCTAGAAAATATGGGAAAACATGGGAGGTGGGGGGGGAGACAAAAACCTAGAGGAAATATGGGAAAATCTGGGGGATCTTTTTACTTGTGTGGATTTATCTGCGTGTCCCAGGGCCCCTTCAGTCGAGGCACACCCCTCCAGCCAAGGCCCCGCTTCCGTCCTCCCCAGGCGGCAGGCGCAGCGCCCGCGGAGCGAGGGATCGCCCCCCCCGGGCAGCCGCTGCCGCCGCTCCGTGCGCGCCGCCCCCGCCTGCCCGCCAGCGTTACGTCGGGCCTGCCCCCCTACCCAGACCCCCTCGAGTTACGAAAAAATCACGACGGGAGGTTTTTCATGATGTTTGGCCTCTGGGGGCCCTTACCGGCCCTCGGGAGCGTCAAAAAACGACCCAGGACGAAAAACCGGTCCCAGGGAATGGGTCCAGACAGCTGGGGGTCGACGTCATGAAAAATTCACGACGTCGGGGGTCTGGGCACAGGGGAATCTTCGACGAAAAATAAAACATACCCCAAGCATAAGCAAAAACAGTCCAAACATAGTCTGGGGACCATTTTTTTTGTTGTATCGTTTTGCGTTTTTTGGTGGGTTTCTGTTAGGGCATTTCTTTTTTTTTTTTCGTCGAACATCCCCCTGCAGGGGGACAGGCCCGACCCAGACCCCCGACGTCATGATTTTTTCATGACGCGACCCCCAGAGGTCCCGACCCGTTCCCCAGGACCGGCTTTTCATCCTGAGTCGTTTTTTGACGGTCCCGAGGGCCGGTAAGGGTCCCCTAAGGCCGAAAATAGCGAAAACCTCGCGTCGTGATTTTTTCATGACTCGAGGGGGTCTGGGGACACAACGCCAGCGCGCCGGTGGCCGGCGCGCCGGCGCGCCAGCGCGCCATGGTGCCCCCCCGGGGCGGCAGCGCGCGGCGGCTCTCGCGGCCGGCGCGCGCCGCCTCCCGGCAGGGGGGAGAAAGCGGGCAGAAAGCGGCGGCGCGCCGCCGGAGGGGAGGGGCAGGGAGGAGGGAGGAGGGAGGAGGAGGGAGGAGGAGGGGGAGGGAGGAGGGAGGAGGGAGGAGGGAGGAGGGAGGAGGGAGGAGGGAGGAGGGAGGAGGGGGAGCGGGCAGAAAGCGGCGGCGCCGCCGGAGGGGGTGGGCACCCGGAGCTCCGTCCCGGCAGCAGGGCTCGAGCTGAACGCTAAACGGTGTTTGGGCCATTTCGTGGGCCGTTTGCGTGTTGACTTCGTTTTGCAGCAAGTGTGGAGCGAAGACAGGACCAGGGAAGCGGGCAGAAAGCGGCGCCCCGCCGAAGGGGAGAGGCACCCAGAGCTCCGTCCCGGCAGCAGGGCTCGAGCTAAACGGTGTTTTGGCCCCAGACCCAGACCCCCTCGAGTAATGAAAAAATCACGACGGCAGGTTTTTCATTATGTTTGGCCTCTGGGGGCCCTTACCGGCCCTCGGGAGCGTCAAAAAACGA